TCAAATTTTATTGGATGAATATTCAAAGGCATTTATCTCTAGACAGAACCCTGGCAATTTACTGCAGCTCCAGTGGCAATAATAATAAATGCATTTTTATAGCCAAATAGTTCAAGCAGCCAACAATGTTACCACTATATAATTAATAACAATAAGCAATTAAAGAGAACAGCAGGTTACAGCGATAAAGCACAGAAATATATTAGCACAAAAACAAAAATACAGAATGTGTGGGAAAAGGAGAGCATTGGGTCAATTTATATCCTCTTTTCTTGTGGATAAAAGGTGCATAGCTCCAGTTGCTGCTGCTGTGAAACCTTCATTCATTTCAGAGGAGCTTTTGTAGGAATCGTGCAGGCTGCATTGGAAGAAACCCCATATAGTGGACTAGAGGATTGTACCCCAAAGCTACCAATTTTAACAACAACAAAAAATCATGGTGTGTAATTAATAGGATATGAGTATACCAGTATCAGAAAGTCATGCTGAATGCTGTAAAATGAAAAGATTGCATAAGAAATCAGAGCTTAACAGCAACAGTGTATTGTTTTTGAAGTTTAGGTCTCCCTAAAGTAAGACAACATCATAAGTATTCTTCATTTTGCATGCAAACAAATGATGCTTAGGATCTTCCAACAGAGAGCAGAATGCTACAAGCTGGTTTTCGAAAATGCTACAAGCTGGTTTTCAAAAATGCTGAGGAACATGATACATTGTTGCTGATGCAGAATGGACAACCAAGAAAACCAAAGAATACCTAAAAGAAGTCAACATATACTTCATTGTTTATAGACAGGTATTCCATTGTGTCAACCATGTGAAACTATGGAATGTTCTTAGAAAAAGAGAACATCTCATTGTCATCATGCCAAACCTATATGCAGATCAGGAAGCCATAGTTCAGATGGTAAAATAGGCAGGCTGGCAACGAAGGGAGACGAGCTATATATCCTCCCCTTATTTATCCAACCTATATATAGAATTTGTGAGGGAAGCTGGATTGAAAATAAATGAGCATAGTTTTAAAATCACTAATCTGTGCTTTGTTAATAATGCTGCTCTGATAGCTGAAAATGAAAATATCAGTTCTAGCCATGAAAGTCAAGAAGCACAATGAAAAAAATGGAACAAAGATTAAAGATACAATTTTGAAGTTACAATGAAGATGCTGAAGTGATAAATATATTTCTGCCTTTTAGGATCAACTAACAATAGCGAAGGTGTCAGCAATTAAGAAATACGCTACACATGACCACTTGGTAGAGTAGCCATGAACACTTTGGAAAAGATATTCAGATGCCAGGATGTGTCTTTGCCTAAAATGATCAGGATTGTCTCTAGGCAATTATTTTCCCTCTTTTCTATTTCTATAACTTTTATGACATTATAGAAATACAAGTAGGATTTTGAGAAACGGGATGGAGAGACCCTTTTGAATTTTTATGTTGTAGAAGATTCCTGAGCATACTGTCGATGGCCAACAAACATTGAACAAGTCAATCCAGAGTCCCTCACAAGACACAAATGCCCAGGCTCAAATTATCATACTTCGGACCCATTATGCAAAGACACATTCTCTGTATGGTAATAATACTGAGAAAGGTAGAAAGGAGAATCAGCAGCAAGGTGTATGGACTCAATTACAGCAGCAATGGGTACACCATGGGAAGAACTGAAGAAGCAGAATGGGAATAAATTGTCCTAGAGAATATCTATGTGGTTGCAAACAATCAACACCGGCTTGATGGCATATAGTAAAAAACTAAAAAAGTAAGGTGCATAGAGCTATTATATGATAGAATGTCTGTTGCTGAGCTCCATAAATTTTGTTTTATTATTAAAAATTAAAAAGTGAACAGAGATAATTTAAAAAAAATAAAAATATTTCTTGATTTGAGTTACTGCTCCTTAACCTCATTGCTTTGTTATGGTTTTTATTCCATTGGTTAAAACAAGTTTCCCTTTTGTATTTAGTATTTAAAAAAGGAATATATCATTTAAGAGAAATTTAGTCACTAATGTCTTTTATATTATTTTTGCTCATTTGATATTTTCCAGAATGCCATAACCATCATTGACTGAAAATTTCTTATGTATGGTACGGATTTCTATGAATTAGCAACAATGCTTGCATAGTTTCCATTTAGTGAAGTTCCTGCATTCACAAAACATACTATAACTAGGTCCAGTTAGGGCCCTTTATTTAGTCCATTCCAATTGAGTGCTATTTGCATTGCTGACATGTAATATGCTCTGATTATGCAGCAATAGGAACCAGATTAATAATATTACTTCTACTATGCCCTCAGTCACAGATTCTGCCCATAGTTTTCTTCAAATGAGTGGTTTGCATGTGACAAATTGCTGTGAGATGGTAATTCTGATTTATTAGATATAGGTAGTCCTTGTTTAGCAACAGCTCATTTAATAACCATTTGCAGTTACAACAGTGATGAAAAAGTAACTTTGCAACTAATCCTTGCATTTATAACCTTTACCGTAAAACAAAGGAAAGCTGAAGTAAGATTATAAGCACCATTGCAGTTTATGAACTACTTATCTCAATGACCAAGTTGCTGGTTCCAGTTGTGATCACTAAACAAGGGTTAGGGTTAGGGGTTAGAGATTCTACAGATTCTATAGATGCCCTGGGCATTTGGATTCTCTTGTGTAAGCAGTTCCTTTTGTGTTTTTTTTCCACCTGTATGACTTAGTTCAATGTGTAGGTATTGTAAAGCAAGATTAAATAACAAAAATAACATTAAAGGCTAGCTAGAAGTATGATTTCATTTTTAATACATGATTATCCACACCAGTAGCATATTAATTAGATTATAATGCACTTAAAAATAGAAAAATACAGATAATATTTGAATCAGTTTGAAAAACTGAGTCACTTTTGTTTTTTCCATTTGATTTATTAAAACACAGTTTTGATGCATTTCTTTCAATAATCTAAATTTTTAATAACAGGCATTACCTTCAGGGGAAAAAATACCAAAACTGGATTGGGTTTTTCCTATTTTCCCTCCAAGTATAAGACCCAGATGTAGCCCATAGGAATAAGTCCATATTTTTTTAAAATTAAACGATAACTAACCATTAGTCATTATAATTTCTGTCTGAGAAAACTTTAGGTAGAAGATGCAAAACAGGCGAAATGACTTGGATTCATGAAAGTAATTTGCAAACATAAAGAAGAATAGTTATTAATTTTCAGTGATTCCCTTCCTTTCTGCTATATCCCTAAGCACAATATATTGAGTTCTTTTTCAGGAGTGGATTTCCATGGTGCATTGGGACATTTAGAGCATGAGAGAGGCAGTTACAATCCAAGCTTTGGTGATTGATGCACATCTCAGTCTTATAATAAATCCCACTGAAATCAATAGGTGTATATGGGATAGTTTTTAAATCAAAATATTGGTTCTGAGTTAAGGCAATGATATAATACTTAGGGCGTTGGTTTATTACTGGAGGGATCCCAGCTGATGTCAGCCCTCAGCTATTCAAATCCCTGGGTAAATTTGGACATATTTTTTCCTTTTTTTCCTCTCTCTCTCTCTCTCTCTCTCTCTCTCTCTCTCTCTCTCTCTCTCTCTCTCTCTCTCTCTCTCTCTCTCTCTCTCTCCCTCCCTCCCTCCCTCCCTCCCCCCCCAACCCAACATACTTGATAAGTTTATGCTGTCTGGGGAAAAATGAAATGCAATCCTTAACTAAGCCACCTTGAAACTTTGGAGGAAAGGCAAGATATAAGCATAAAATTATGATTGTGGGATTGTAACCTCAGTTTGAAATTACATGCAAAAACATCCCCTTTCTATTCTCATGATATAATGCTATTATGCAGGCAATAACCTCAGACAACCTATCAGAAGGATCATAGTTTTAAGCCCTAGATAACTTTGAGGCATAACTTTAAGGCAACTTTGACTTTTATTTTTTTTTTCTTCTCCCCATTTTAAGAAAAAGAGGAATAGTTTTCTGTGTATCCATTTGGCATGCTTTGAAAAATCACTTTCTCTGTCTGTATTATTTTGCTAATATGACAATATTACTTTTCCTGTGTACTTTATTCTGCTAAGGTGACAATATCTTAAATATATTAAACATACATTCCACCAAATTTAGAATGATAAACCACGAGGAGATATCTGAGTTCATTTTTAAATTACCAAAACATATGAATGAAACTTTTAAGTAGGTTCAGTGCCATGAGAAAGACTTGTATGACTTTCCTTGACCATGTCAAAAAGCATTTAAACTTTATTGTTTAAATTCAGGAGCCAGTCACAGAAAAATATGTCCCAGAAGATTTATTAGGTGTTTATAGCCCAGACTAGTGACAGTTTTTTTTCTTAAAGGACTTCATAAGCAAAGATGTTGATACATATTACTGGAACATTATGTGGGAATGACCACAAAAGCATACCACTCTAGGAATATGAAAAATAAGAGCCTAAAAGTAAGAATTGCTCAAATGGTGTTCTGTTTGTTGCCTGAAAGCTTTAATGAATATCACCAATTTATTCCATTTGTTTATATATCCTGTATAGCCAAAGATACAACACAAGAAAAAGGCAATAAAATAATGCAGTTTTATGCCAGACTTTGTGTTTCCGTATACCACACTGTGTATGCTGACCGTATCAATAATTCTGTGTCAACGTTATTCACATATTTAATGTACAATGTTTAGAAAAGCCAAAAAAAATTTCCAAGGGTGCAAGTACTTCTGTGTAACTGCTGATGTCTTCTGCAGGCAGCTAAGTAGCCTTTTCTTGTGTCTCCTCAAGAAACATTTCTTGACAGAGAGAAGAATGTGTTGTACGCGGTTCACATGGCTGATCCACTGTAATATGGAATTAACTAACTACATGGATCAGTCTTAGAAAGTGTTTCCCCTAGATCTGACAACAGGTAGTGTTTTCTTTATGCTGCATGAAGTGTCCATAAAGTATCTTTTTTCAATTTTACCAATTTGTGTTTTTTCTGTGTAGAACTCGATGGTAGATATACCAGTACTTCCACCAGTTCCAGAATTCCCAGACAGGTGGGCAATACTAGTAGGTATTTAACCTCAAACAATTAGAGAAAGCTATATCTTGCAAGTTGACCAATTTTAAAACAAATTTATAGTTGACAAAACAACAAAGAATTGCTTTCAAAATTAAAAGAACCGATGCTTTAAAATAAGCCAAAGTGTTTTGATTTTGAGTAACTTACCTTTTCCATGAAAATTAATGTAACTTTATTAATTAACACAGATATACAGGATGTAGTTTTTGATTGCTCGTTTCATTGTAGTTCTGTGTATTATATAGAATGGCAGAACAAGGAAGTGTTATTTTGAAGAGAAAGAGAGGTTAAGGTGTCTAAGCTCACAATTAGAAACTGGAACATGGGGCAATACCTACCTACACTTAGGTTTTGCAGTTCTGTGAATCAGCCAAATAATTGTTATAGAGAATTATGAACATATCATACAACGATGATGTCTAAGATGTTTTGCAAAAGAATTATATTTAAATTTGTATTAATGTATTTATTAATTTAATATATTAATGTATTAATTTACATTAATTCTCCTTGTAATATAGTATCTTATCAGTATAAGATCTAAACCCTGCATCATATTTTAAATGAGGCTTTCAGCCCTGAAAGAATAGTTTCAAGTTGCAGCAATAGTATTCAAAATCCAAAATCATCAGGATCTTCTGAACGATTGGGTACTTTGCATAGTAACACTTTCTCTTTTTTAGAGATCCATACAGCCCATAATCCAAAAGCACCAATATTACTCATGTTACATGGGAACCAATCAGTAAGGAGAAAGAATCATTTTATGTATATCTCCTTTGAGTCTTGGCTCCTCATTGGCATGTTTATGCATTTTGATTAGAAACGTTATGGAAGTATCTTCCATAGCAACATTCTGGAATATTTATCAGTGCACTGGTCTAGGCCATAGCTTGGGTAGTCTCCAATCCAAATGCTAATCAGGCCTCCTTTGCTTCAGAGCCCAAACAATATCAAGCAGAGGCATTTATCCATCCATCCATCTATTCATCCATTTCATTAAATGTCCTGCTAATTCCATGCGAGCTCATGGCATCCTAAAACTAATGCAGTAAGAGCAGGACACACATTCAGTACTGATGTGTTTTCTTCATTTCCCTTGTATAAAATGTATTGGTTTATAAAAAAAAATACATACTAGTGCTCAGTATGTTCAGTTTCTACATTTTTGTTAATCTTTTTGACCTTGACAAATGATAGGACTTTTTTTTTACTTTTTCATTTTGTTTTATTTTTATTTTGAGAAATTTGCTTCCCAAGACATACTTTCCCTAATCTACTTGTTGCCCTAAATAGCTGGCCAGATTTAATTTTCACAAACTAATTACTTCAAATTGCCAGTTTTTCACGAATGTGTCACTTCGTTAAGGGTCAAGTAAATAAGAAAATTCAGTCACAAATAGCATCAGGCTTTCTTGAGGTTAATGATGATTTTTCCAGTCATCCACGGCATGCAAACATGGTTATGTAGTCAGAAGGGAGACCCTAAATGGGTGTATAGAATAGGACTTCTCTAGGTGTTCCGTCCTTTGGGTTCTTTTTATTTAATTGAGCCCTCCCTCCACACCAGCATGGATGCATATTGATGGCAACTTTAACCACAGTCAGACTACTGCAAATTATTTTTTACCTTGAACCAGAAAAATAGCTGGCCAGTATTCACAAAAGAGGCTGAGATACTGGGAATATATAACAGTTATTGATGTAACCAGAACATTTTCCCATGGCGCTGTTGATCTGCTTCTACGCCACTGGATAAACCATTTACCTAGAGATGGTAGCAATTTGGAACAGCCTTGAGTTGTGCACCCAGTCATTTGTGCACCCAGTCATAGAGGTAGAAAATTTTAAGATCATCTCTTCAGTTTCTCTGAACAAACATGGGACTATTTCCCACAACAGCTGCCAATCATCTGCTATACTGTGATAACATGTACAAATCCGAGAGTCTTAGAATCTCCTCCTGCCCCTTTCCACAACTTTTCTCATCCCTGTTCTCTGGAGCAACAATTTCTTACTTCTTTGAGCATCCCTTCCTTTTGTCATTTAAGGTTTCAAAATAGCAAGTATAAGATATAAATTAGCAAACCCACAGCAGGGAAGTCCGTTCCATCTGCTGCCAAAGCAAAACCGCTACCACCCACATTTGCTGCCCCAGGCATTTGTCTAGGTACATCTATAAGTCCAGCTTTAATAGAACTGATAAAAAAGAACTTTCTATTTATTGCACTTAAATTATCAGAACTTTTTCTAAAGAGAGGGAGGAGCAGAAATCATAAGATTCTAATCAGCACAAAATTTAACCAGTTTTTAAAATCATTTCCATTATATTCCATAAAACATAATAGAAGCAGAATAGTATAGCTTTGCAATGCTAGTCCAATTTCCCCTCTAAAGATATTTTTGTCTACCCAGAACAACTAATAGAGGAAGCAATCAAGATGATTCCCTACAAGATGTTCCCTGTGACATCTTCTCTCTGCCGTTAAGAGGACAGAATGCTAGACTAGAATTAACATTTGTGTGCCTCAGCATGGCATTTCTTGGGAAAAGGCCACAGCTCAGTGATGCAGTACATGGCTTGCTTGCAGAAGTTCTCATATTTGATTCCTGATGTCTCCAGTTAGAATGGAGTTCAAGTGACATCTCTGTCTCAAAATCTCTGACAGTCAGAATAGGCAGTGTTGGTTTGTACAGATCTGTTGGCACAGAAGAAGCATCGTCATAGTTCTTTATGTTCTTATTAGTTCAGAGATGAATGTACAGAAAATGTATATGTTGTGTGATTTTCAGACTGCTGTAATAAAGCATAAATGTGAAAATGTTTCTCTTATGTTAGAGAAAGGAGTCTTTGTATATGAAAGTAGAATGTAATGGCCCAGCTTCCGTATTCAGGGAGATCCTTTTTCTCATTACAGTATTACCGTAGTTTATACTCTGTAGCAGTATATATGCTATAGACCATAGTAGTAGTTTTGGTATGCTAGCTTTATGCAGTTTCTACAGAACTATTTTAATTTCTTAAGTTATTTAGCACATTTTACCTTCTATACGTTGAAGAGAGGGGTGAAAGTTCTCCAATATTTCTTTGTAGTTATTACTACTTTGCACTGTGTCCAACAAACCTACAAGATTTTGTCTACAATTTTGCAGTAGCAGATTCCTGAAGTACTGTAAACATTTCCCTCAGCAATTCCCAGCTGTACATTTGATTTTTGCATTTCCATTTCCTTACTGCTATATCATGAATTGTTTCAGTTTGGTTTCTTCATCTTTATTTGTTTATTTATTATAATGATACTTGAGAAATTGTAAATGACAGAAGGCCTATTACAATCAAAGAACAATGAGTGTATGTTGGAAGTTTTCAGACTTTGTTAATTTCTATATTAGATCTTTTTAAAAAATTGTATTGCCCAGCTGGGTGAATTGGGGAAAACCAAAAGAAGATTAAGTTAACACACTTGGCATTCTGGCAAACAACCAACAGACAGTTTGATTCCAATGAGAAGGGAATAATGGTTTAAACCGTAACTATTTAGATTGGATGATAATAGAATAGCATACATAGGCTTTCCCTTTGCAACTATCTATATCTCATGTGGTATGGATAGAATAAAAAGCAGCTCAAGGACATTGTCATGCAAAAAGTAGTTAAATACTTCAGCTGTTTTGCCTTAATAGGAGTGAAATAGGCTCTCACTAAATGGACTGACAGCAATCAGTTGTTAGCAGTAAGCAAAGTAAACTTGATAAGTGACATGGCTAAAACATTGCTGGGTAGCCATATTGTTCAGTTAGGACAGAAGGAGCAGCAAGGAGTTAGAAATCTGCTTGAGCTACCACTGTCTGATTATGACCGTGTGGATAGGAGCTTCTCTGTACTCATTATTTCATCTTATTTTTTTTTTATTAGAGACTCATCACAAGGGGCCTTACTCCCACTCTACCACAACTCTTGGAAATATAATACTAGGCACAGCAACCGGAAGAGACTCTATATTTGCATAGTAAATGCTACTTTTACCTTAGTAATATAATGCATCATTTTATTTGGAAAACAGCAGTTTTCGTGTGTACATTTCTCAGTCAGCATGTGCTCCAACAATGTACATTATTATGAAAATAGATGATGAGATGCTGATGCTGATGATCTGTCATTTTGACAGCTTGATACAAATTCTACTTAAGAATGTTCTTCACTTGGACATCTTCCTTGAGGCAACTTCAAAAAACAACTGTGTTTATGATGGGGAAAACCATTGTGTGAATCAGGTCTAGAGTAGTTGGTAGATATCTAATTTGTAACTTAAACCCTAGAGGTACGTAATTGCTTATAAATTTCGTTAAATCATACCTATAACTCCTAATAAAAACAGGGCTCTGCCAATCTATTAAATCCTTCATAGAATATTTTAATGGTTATTAAATCAATTGACTCTAAATCTCACTTTCATGAATGAGTCAGACAGTATTTTCCAATTACTATCATTTACCATCTTTCTAAAGATTAGATTATTCTGATTGATTTTTTTTTAAAGCTCTTCACTGCTTTTGAATTTTTTTTCCTTGTAAATTTGTTGGGAAAAAGTAATTTGAAGTGGATGTATGAGGGGAGAATAGCCTCTTGAAATGATGTTCTGGCACTTCACTTCAAATTTGTCACAACTGTAAATTCTCAAAGTAGCCTTTTTATGTCTGTTTATTTCTGATATGATGTTCAGTATTTCTACATTAAGGGTTCAAATATTAAGGTTTCCTGTGCAGTTATCATTTGGTGTTTTCCAGTTTTATAACTACAAAAAGCACCAAGATGTATCAATGTAAAATTGGTGTTTCAAAATTAAATACTAACATGATTGAAAATTGGGACATCTTGAGACAGTGATATCGTCAACCTTCTCTAGGCCATCCATACTTCAGAGTTGTTACTGAGTTGTCATATCACTATTACCAATCCAGAAAGTGTTTAGTGACAAATGATCATCAATTCTATAGGAATGCTTCTGAAAGGGATTTACCAATACATGTAATGGAATACAAAAAGTCAGGGGAAAAAGGACCTTAAAAGCATAAATAATCTTAACTAATAGCCCTAACATAAATGATACATTTTTAACAGTTCACATAATATCTTATAGGCCACAGCACCTCCCATTATATCTCTAGAGCAGTTTTCAATTAATAAGCACCTTACAGATTGATTGTAGTCTCAAAATATCTTAAAGGCATCAGTCTGGAAGAGTCTATTTTATAATATTGAGGAGGAGGAGAAGGAGAATAAGCCTCTTCTAAACTGTCCATATAGTGCAGTTATAATGTTTTTGGCATCATAACCATAGAAATCAATAGCATCCTGCAAGGTTCAACATTCAATTTTATCTCCAACAATGTTAGTGGAAGCCAGAATTCAAACATATTTTTAGTCATGGCTATTTGCTGGGGTTTTTTCACATCACCATAAATATGAAGATATTGTTTTAATGGGTTGCCCCAAAACTGAAAAACAGGAGACGAGAGAGAAGTAAACCTGAACAATATTCTTCTTTTCCTGGTCAACTTGTTTATTTTCTCATGAATTCTCCTATTCAGACTTAATATTAGGTATTACTTTTATACTTACAATGTCTTTTTTTAGGCATAAAATCATATATTAACTGGAAAATTATATTGGAGCTTCCATTAAAAAAATTCATGTGTACATTGGACTTCAAAACATAACTGAAATATAAAATTTGAATGTGCGATTCATGGTAGCAAATTTGAAAAAACAGTCCCCATAAAGTGCCTGTTTTTTTCACAGGCAGGCTGGTAGTACTTTTTGTGAGGAATATATAATTTCATGGGTAATAATTTTGTCAGTCTTATGTTTGCTTTAAACCACTCTATGTAGATGTTTTGCATTTGGCAAATATTTTGGAAGTTGCCATTGCTTATGTTCTCTTCGATAGATCTAAAATTGAGATTCCTTTTTTCTTTTCATCATTAAAATGCATCCACCCAAATATTTGGGAAGGGGGTCCCACTGGTCTGTGAATAATAAGCCTCCCAGATCAGCCCCTGTGTGAGATAAACAGAAAATAAATTTAACAAATTAAATAAATAATAAATAATATGCTATAATACCTGATATAATTCACATAGCCGTCTAAGTGGGATTCCCCCTCCCAATTCACAGACTAATTTAAGAGAGATTTTCCTCCCTACAAATATGCAGTGCCATAGAACGTACCAAAAATGGGAAAATGTAGTGAGAAATTTTAAGATATAGAAATATTGAAAGAATATAGTGAGTAGCATGGTGGCCTTTTGTAAGGAATGAATATTTGTTGAAAGAAATAAACATTGTATATTGTTGTATACAAATGTTTGCTTCTGCCAACTTTGTTGTAAAAAATAGAAAGGTACAGAGAATAGTGAATGGTGTTGGTATAAACTAGATTTATCTAAGCTGCTTTTCTTTTCCTTTTACATATTTCATGACTTACTCCCTTTTTGTTTTGTTGTTATTTGTTTTCTTTTCTTTTGTTTTTGCATAATGTTGCTTATGCCGTGAGGGAATAGTTTGGTATATTCAAACATAAACATTTGTGAATAATGTGACCATTTGGATAATTCTGACATCTTCCAAAAATAGCTAGTGATAACTGTTTTTGGAGACCTGAATCAGATGTTTGGCTTGATCAAGAATTAACGTTCAGATTTTTAAAAAAATCAATGGCTTTATGGGGATATGAGTTACCAAGGAATGCACTGCATTCAGCAAGCATAGCACATTTCTTTTTCTCAGCAAGGAAGTATATTTTGAAATCACGTTCAAATTCAGGTAACCAAAAGAAAGACCAGCCTTTCACATACCACTTCTGTTTTGGATTTCATGAATATGTTGATGCAACTAAACTTTCTAAAATACTCCGCTGCAAATATTTATTCCAAAGGAAAACTGTATTTATTTAGTGGGATTTACTTCCTGATCAGTGGGAGAGATTTTACACCCCAACTGCACTAGATTAATGCCTGGAGAAAGAAAAAGTTAGATTTTTTGGTCACACACACATAAACATTTTCAGAATTGCCTATTTCTGACTTAGGAGTAGTCTTCCTTTCTGCAGAAAGTTACAATTTCTGATCAAAGAGACAAATCTGTTCTTTGACTGCTAATAGAATTGCTCTCACTGGCTAAAAATATTACACATCAGCAGGGTTTTTGCACATATATACCGTAGTTGTGTAGTTCTTTTAGCTAAACCATCTCTGATAATGTTAGGAATGAGGGAGCTGCTGGAGCAGACAGCATTAATTTTACGTTAATTATGCCTCTTTGTATTAAGGATAAATCCCAATCATTGTGAGCCAAAACATCAGGAATCTAATCACTTTTCTTGGTTTTAGTTTGTCATAGTTTGGGAGAACAGCTCAGTGATGAGGTTAGATAGTTTATTTATTTGTTTGTTTGTCAAATGTATACAGTTGCCCATCTCACATACAATAAAGTCATAAACTGAAGGCCATACTTAATTTAATTGTTGCCTCCTATCTTTTCATCATTTCTTGGGAGTCAATCATGGAAGGCTGTGTTACTTTAGTCATGGTGGGACAATTTAGTATTCAGTTGGTAGCTGTTATCTTAAAATACACCAGAGTGGTGTACTAGGTGCAGTTGTTTTGTGAGTGTGCATGTGTTTTTATTATTAACTGGCTAATATATTTACCTGTCAAATCAAACTGTAGATATAACACAATAGTGATATAGAGGAGGATCTTTTCTAAGATAGGCTGAGAGAATTGAACCCTGTACAAAAGAGCTGGAGGTTGCATTTTACCTAGCAACTGTTTCTAAGTAGGACAACCGATCACTGTTCCCATGGTGGAAGAAAAGGAGCTTGCAACATTGCTGAGAAGAAAGACCAATGCTAGACCCAGGATGAACAGGGAGGGGAAAAGGGCACCAAGGGCCTGCAGCTGAGAGCGGGAGAGGTTTTAGGATCAATTTGGTAGTACTTGGAATGCCTCTAGCTGGGAAAAAAATGAAGGACCTCTGAGACTCTCAGTGAGATGGTTACTAATAAGGGGAGGAGAAAGCCAGTTCAAAGATAATGCAGGCTTTCATGTTCAGGGCAAAGATCTGTTGTTCCATGCAAGTTTTTAAAAAACAGAAACCTTAATACTTATCGAAAGTAAACATTAGTATGATATGTGGTAACATCTAAATAAAAATAGAATCTACCATTTCTTTCGCACCCAGTACAATCACGGTTTATGCAGCTAACAAGAAGTTGCATGGATGAAGTTGTAACATATGTCATAGAGGAAAGTTTATAATGAAACAATACAAAAATAAGATAGGAAAGGAAAGATACCTGAACACTTGCTTCTTGCTTTATAGGAACTTTCTGCATGATAGTTTTGTAGCCCATCAGATTTAAGAAAAACTAGACAACTAGTTGGATTCTCATTGGGTCATCCTTTGAAAGATAGGTAGTACAATCTGATGTGACCAGAATGAACATTACATTTTAGGCTGACCATATATATATATTTTTACCCCAATGCTGGATGGTCCTGTGATGCTCTAAGAAGAATATGTATCATAAATAAAAACAATAATTGTAGTGGCAAACAAACTTCAATAATAAGTCAATGTTTATTTACCTAAACTGATATACAGAACAACCAAGGGTAGGCACAAAAGCAGTGGGAAAGGAGTGACTTCTGACTTCCTCCCTGCTTCCCTGTTGATTTTGCTTGTGGGAAACTGGCAGGAGCATCAAAAATCAGGATCCCATTACTATTTGCCACAACTTTGCAAATAAACTGATCTGAACAATTTTCATTCCGCAAGAGTAACGGGTCCCAGATTTTTTAATGCATTCTTTAAGTTAGCAGATGTTAGATAACCTTGATTCAGAAATTGTTGTGGTATAATGCTCTGTTCAGGATAACTTGAGGATGTAAACAAACAAACAAACAGATAAACATGAGTGTTATAGTTGTATATAGATAGTAGAAGTATTTGAGTTTTCTTCACTTTTGTAGCATCCAATACTTGGTAGCTCTTATTCACCTAACCTGTATATAGAGTGATTGCTGCCAAAACAAAACTGTAATATCCACTCTTATTCTACTGTACACTTTGGTGCAGAATAAATTCTACAGCCAAATCAAGGGCACCAAGATAATTATCTAATTAATTAAATCTAATTATCTAATTAATTAAAACTGGATGCATGTGCACACTTTTGTATTACCAGTTGCGTTCAATTACATTTATATTATTAAATCTAGCTGCACTTACTTCTAATTCTTGCTAGCAAGCAAATGTTTTAATAGCAACAGATTTGGAGGAGGAAGAAAGGGTTGCTTTGGGGCACTTCTTGAAAAGTTGTTTAATAAGTGATATTTATCATTTATGATTGCTTTATTCTCTTGCAAAGTGTCCTGTATTTTTTGACAAAACATTAGAGGGCAAGTGTTACCAATAATAATACATTTTCTCCAATTTTACCCCATCAGATGAAGGACTAAACCATGAATGCAAGTTGTGCAACCAGACATTTGATTCTCCTGCCAAACTCCAGTGCCATCTAATAGAGCACAGTTTTGAAGGAATGGGAGGAACCTTCAAGTGTCCAGTCTGCTTTACAGGTGAGACTCTGATAGGACTCATTCATTGTGCACCTTGGCTTTAATTAACTCATGTATATTCTTCAGTGATATCATTTATGCCACATTATTGAAATCGGGATTCTATCTTTCCAACATTCCTCTCTCACAAAATATATATTTATCTGATTTGTAGGATGGGACTCAGAGATGGGATCCTCTTGCTGTGTAACAGGTTTTCTCCTTATTCAAAGTATTGGGGGAGAATGGGGATGGGATTTCTGCCTCCATAACTGCATTCCTGCATGTCATATCTTTGGCTGGCTTGATACAGTTTTTTTCATTGGAATACATAGCGTTACAGAGAGAACTAGGGTATTACTATTATATTTTTGGATCATAGTCATCCTCGAAATACTCATAAACTGCCAAGACTGTTTATTACTTACCGAAAATATGGAGAAAATAAACAGTTTTTCATATTAACAGCAGGAAGCTCTTAATTGAAAATAGTCTTACTTTACCTTTTCTTGCCCAAATCTTAGTAACTTTTAACCTTATTACTGGTTTTTCTTGGAAGCCAGTACTTACTTTAATATCTGTTTTTAAAATAAGACTTTTAAAAGCAGTATATGATACAATATTGGGAAAAGAACCTGATATTCTCAGGTGAAAAAAATAAACAAGTTTGGTCTAATGTAGGGGTCTCCAATTCCCAGTCCGCGACCTGATAACGATTCTCAGCCCTTTGGGAACCAGACTGTGCAAGGGGCAGGCAAGTGCGCAAAGCTTCATTTGCACATGCTCAGGAGCTAGGATGCATGCATGAAACCATCCCCTTCCCCACATTGCCAACGCCGCTGCTGGTGATCCATGGAGCCATAAAGGTTGGGGACCACTGTTCTAGTGTAACATGGCTAGGGTTGTCGTGAGGAAAATAGGAGGAGAAAGGAGAATTAGGTACGTTAGCTGCCTTGAATTATTTTTCAAAATAATAAAGGCAGGTTATAAATAAATACATACAGAAATAAAAAATAGGCTACACGCGTTGAGTATGACTATATTTGGGCTATGCATGGCACTGGTGTTTTCCCCACCAAAATTGATGATGTTTGTTACTGAAATAAATGTGTGACTATTTTTGCAGAAATTAGGAATGAAGTAAAATACATCTATGTGCAAGTGGATTCTTATCCTATCATTTATTACCATCAGTGACATCAGCGCAATACTCTAAGACAGGTGTGTCCAACCTATGACCCATGGGCCACATGCGGTCCTGGAAAGTTAGTAATTCTTGCCTCCAAAGTAGTAAACATTAATTATACTATATATTTTATATATGGCCCAAGACAATTCTCTTCACTTAGTGCAGCCCAGGCAAGCCAAAAGATTGGACATAGTGCTCTAAAGCATGATCCTACTGATTGTCAATTAAATGATCATTGTACCACTATCATAAACTACCATGCTGAAATCAAAAAGACACTGTCAACGCACAATATGCGGATTCCTACACAAGACTAAAGTATGTTGATCAAATACATCTAAATGCAACACAAACAACACATGGCTATCTGTGCCCATACAGATTCATTGCATGTTGATTCATTATGAGTAGTCAGCATAATGACTTGCAGCTGAGTCACTTTTTTAAATATATGAAAATAAATCTTTCCTGCTTAATCATTATATAATGCATGCTACTGTTACTCAGTGATAAGCATGCATTTGTGACTTTATTCAGTAAATCATGAGTACATACTACCCTTTCGATCTAAATCTACTACATCCTCCAAATTGCCTTACTGTGAGATTATTTTCAGCCAACCAACAGCAAATCATCCACTACTTTTCTTTCTGCAACCAAACTAATCCCATGCTATTTTTCTTCCCTACAATATCCAGTGCTATCGGAATAGGGACTCAATCACATATCATTCTAGTGAAAGAAACCACATCTGTCAGCTTTTTACAGATCCACTTTCTTTAAGAGAAGGCCTCTTGCACAGTGTGAAACACAGAGACTTTCTGGATGAAGCATAACTTAAAACTATAATTGGAAATCTAACCATTTAAGAGCTGCATAGAAACATTTTATTTCTAATAGCAGTAATGCCATTGAACTTTACAGTTTAAATATAGTGTCTAGATGCAGGATCTGTTTTCTAAGAGTAAAGTCTGCACAGCTGTGTATCATCAATAGGATGCATTTCAGGATTATTATTTCTACACTGAAAAGAAAACCCCAAAATGTTATTTCTTGTTCTTTGGCAGCACTTTACCCAATAAAACAGAGGCAAGCCTTGCTGCTATTTCTAATTATTGCCTCCTACTTACTAGTTAAACATTTTTCCTCTGCATTATAACATTTAGTTACTTTTCAGCACACAGGTTGCTCTAATAATGTTTGAAGCTAGTTTTGTTTTCAACAGTGTGCCTGTCAGCCATGCTGGTTTGGTAATTCCCACAGTTGAGTTTTTGTTTTGTTTTCCACATTTTTCTACATGTAGACAGAAGTCATTAATGTTGAATTTATATACTATATTTATACCTAAAGTGTATTGTAGGCAACTTTTAATACCATTTGTGATTCTAAACCGTAAGTTTTGGCTGTGTAATAAAACATTAGAAAAACAATCCTATTTCTGTTTCTTTCCATGAATAGATTTCCCAAATAACAACAAAAACAACATTTCAGCTAGAGGCTTTATAAAATGTGTTCAAAGTATTGAAACTCTTATTCCAATATGTATGTTGAAAATGAAAACATTTTTTTGCTGATGGGATAAATAGATACAGCACATTAATGATAGACAATCATGTTTTAGGAGTAATATGCTATTAAATTTATACAATGTGCAGAATATTAACAAGAACTGAGAATCACCAATATAAATTTTATATGGAAAATGGAATCCAATAATTTTAATGTAATGAAAAATGTGATTAAAATGTATGACTCATAAGAACCCTGTTCTAATTCTTTCTTTGTTGTTGGCATTCAATTAGAATTATTTTAATGATTAGGAATGGAGTCAAAGTTAAATGCCAGCATCTTTAATAAATCCTTACTCTGCCTATACAAATTAATATTGTATATGCAAACTTTTTTTAGGTCACAGTGCACCAGGCATCCATCAGAAGTCAGTGCTGCCAACCCAAACACTGCCTCTGGCATATACAATTTAATTATTAATACTATGTCTCCTAGGTAAACTGTTACACAGTCTTAGGGCCTTGTTTGTAGTCATTAAAATTGAACGTGTTTATATTATTGAAACCTTTGCATTCAGTGTGTGCTCAGCGTTGATCTTAAAGTATCCAAAGAGAATTTACCTGTAGTTCTGTTTCACATTTATAGATATTGCCCCAATATAGCTGTGGGATATAATTTTTAACATTAATACATTTCTGTACAGAATTGTTTCAATATATTAACACATTTCAATACAGGATAGAATCAGCTACTTAGGCAAATGCACAAAGCAGGCTTTAGAATCTGTTGCTTCCAAATTTTTAAGTAGCAAGATTTTTAATGTTGAGTTTTAGTTGAGTATGGTTTAATTTTAAATTGTTGTGGTAAAATGGGAAAAGTACACTTCTAACTGTTTGCGATTTAAGTCTTATTTGATTATGTTTTTACCAGACATATAAGCATGGTTCTTTACAAAGAATAGAAAAGAAAATTAAGACTTGAATGTCGAGCTGAATAATCATGGCTGGTGCCTATTATAGCAACAGTGTAATCAGAAATTATAGGGTTCTTTGATAATTGTACCCTTTGCAATTGCTGGGAGTAATGAGGAAATGTTCGCCGAAAAAAGTCTTTCTATGCAATAAAATGAACTAACAAAAAGTTCACATTTTCCTTTTTGATGTTTCCAGTATTTGTTCAAGCCAACAAATTGCAGCAACATATTTTTTCAGCCCATGGGCAAGAAGATAAGATCTACGACTGCACACAATGCCCACAGAAGTTCTTCTTTCAAACAGAATTGCAGGTATTTTGCTTTTCCTCTGTTTGCATAGAGGGGGCATAAAATATATTATTCATTAAGCACTAATTATTGGCTAAATTGCTCCAATGTATTGGTTTCTGTGAAGTTCTACAATGCTTCCTGAGCAGAGGGGTAAGAAGAGATGGATCAGAAGAAAAGATATATGTAGTCAGACCACAAAGTGAACTAAGTTGTTTCCAAGAACTTTAAAGCATGTAAAGGGGGGATATAAATTGGAAAATACTTCTGTATTTTTTAACCCCAAACAGATAATTGCATTTTGGAAGTTCTACCAAACAGTTTCTGATAAGCTGCTGTTTGACAGAAACAAAACCTGAAACATTTTGGTTGTTTAGGGTTTCAGTTTGAACAGTACTCATAAGGATCCTGGAGTGCTTTTACACCTCCTCTGTATGGTCTGGCAATGGCCTGCCCACCTCCTGATCTTGCTTTCCTCTTTTTCCTCCCACCACTGCTTTCCCACAAAACTACTGCCAGGACTGAAGTTTGCACGTGCTGTCACCAACGAAAATCCTTATCTTGGCTTTTTCATTCCATATGCAGATGATATAATCTGAAATATGCATGTTTTGGGTTGGACACAGATCTCCCAAAGCCAGCTGTTCTATGCCTAGATTTTTTTGTGCATGGAACATCCATACTGTAGTGTGGATTTGGAAAAGCTGGTTAGTTCATTTACATTTCTCTTCTCTACTAAGGATGGTTAGAAAGCTATAGTTTTTTAGTCTCATAAAGAAGCAACCGCTGTATATGTATCAAATTTAAATAACAGCTGTAAATCAGAAACAAAAAAGCCTCACTCATTTCATAGAAAAAGAATTGGCAACGCTACATCCGTAGGTGCCAAACTACCTGCAGGAGACATAGATGGTGTCTGTGAATCCCAAACTAGCAACATCTGGAGAATTGCAGGCGAGAATGCCACAATCTCATGAGGTTATACAAGAATCAGGTCATCAGGGCCTCATAAGATGTAATTGTTTCACCAGATACCTACCATATTTTTAAAAAAATATATTTTTGGACAACCAAATGACTCTGTGATTACATTGTCATTTAAAATACTGTTGATTTCTCCCACTTACATTTTTGGGTAGAACGAAGTGATCCCTGGAAAGCAGTTGGAGCTGCTAATATCTTGATTCCATCCATGAAATTACTTGAAACAAACCATTTGTTTCAAGTATTCTGAATTTCACTGTATAAATTTCTAGAGTCCTGAACACAATACTTTGAAAGCTAATATGTTCTTTATAGTAGCAGATAGAATCTGTAATTGCTCAGCCCCACAAATAATTCCACATCCTACAAGCAGTTGCTATCATGTAACATTTAGATGTAACTAATTACATCTGTAGCTATAAAAGAGCGGCAGGAATTTGGAAAGCACAGGAGTGACTCTTGCATCAACAATATTTAAAGCAGGGGTCCCTAACCTATGGGCTAGCACTGCTGTGCAGGCACTAGCAGCCCCATTTGCACATGCGCGGGGGCACTAGCACCGCCACCAGCATCAGGCAGATGTTAGAAGCCTGCTTGCGCATGCATGCGGGCCCTAGCAGCCCGTTTGTGCGTGCTCATGGTGCACGTGGCCCACTTGCTCATGTGCATGGCCCGTTTGCACATGCGCACGTTTGCTCGTGCCATTATCATGCACATAGCCATTTATGCATGCTCATGCGGGGCCGTGTGTGCACACATTTCCATGCTTCTCCCTTTTCTTCTGGACTGCCAAGCCAGAAAGGTTGGGGAGCTCTGATTTAAAGTGCTTGTTTTAAAATGGGTGGACTGCCACCTCTGCTCCAGGAGGACATGGCTGGCACCAGCTAATGTTCCTGACTAACCCTGCACAATATGGCGTATGAAAAAGGAAAAGGCTACTGGATAAAACAGAACAAGAACCAAATTTGGGGCCTGAACTACTACCGAAGTATTGAAGGGTCATCACAGGGACAAATTAGATAGAATTTAATACGATAAACTGATTTGTTCCTCAGTTAGTCTTTGTTCTCAATAATAGGAAGGAGGTACAATATGCAATTATGCATCAGTACTGTAACTGAGAATTGTGATTTTATTGGTATAAACCCTATCCTCAATTTAGGCTTGACACGATGACTAATTGTGACTACTTTCATAACCTAGATATTTCTTCTGTTCTGGTATAAATAAGATCACTTCGTTCCAGCTTCTTACTATATCAAACATATTTATTTGATTGTAAATACAAATGCAGTACATTCACATATCCAAAGCATTTCATGTGCAAATTAGTTTAATCAAAAATGTTCTAGAGGTGTAGAACTAAACTGTAGTACTTCTTTTGCTAGCTGAATAATAAAGTATTAAAAGTTGGGTAAGGCTTAAAAATACTGTCTTAATTATTATGTTACTCAATGGTTCTATTAGTCTCATAGCAATTGCCATAGCTTGAATATTTCTGATAGAATTCTTCTTATCAGGATTTCATCTTATTTGGCAGTCTTTTTCTTGAACCTAGAAGAAAGTTTTGTCCTTCATTAAAAGTAATAATGTTGAGTCAGTGCTATTTTGTTGTAAACCCACATTCTGCTTTCAGTGGGATACTATAGAGATTACACTAGAGAGAAATGGAAAGAAAGAAAGTTTAAAGATTATTATGTGAAGATAGAATGTTTTTTTAAAAAAATAGGGGTAAGCTGTTACTACATAGCAACTATGGATTTGCTAAGAAAAAAGATTTCTATTTCACCTACTGAAAATTAAGAAAATTGCTTATTTAAAATTATTGAACTGGTTTTTGGCTTCATAAACAAGCTACAAATAGTGATGCAGCACTTTTAAAAAATAAGATGAATGCACCCAATGAGATAACATGTGTAAACTTATACATTCATAAATTCCACATCATAACAACATGCCAATAAAATAGATTGATGAATCTAAGCATCTAAAGTTGTTATTGTATCATATTTACCTTGATGAAAAGTAATAAAATACACCAAATCTGATGATTATCGATGAAATAATATCTATTCAAAGAACTATTTTCTATAGCTTTTGAACTAATCTAACTAAGAAAAACCAGCTTAAGCAAAATTAGCAATGTGGCTTCCCATTTCACCTGCAGTTGATTCTGTAGGTCTTTGTGGCATGCACTTGTACTATAAATGCAAATGATAAAACACATATAATCTTAATTCCATCCACTTTTCTTGCAGTGGAAAATGTGTATTGGAAATTGGCACTAGATTGTGCTATAAAAATGGCTGATAATGTTTTTTGTTCATTAATGTGTGCCTCCAAACAGCCATTGTCCTTGGAAAAGAATTCAATGCAATAGTGGCTTTTAAATGAAAGGAGTTTTAGCACAAGCTTAGTAGGGGCCAGTTTGTTTATAGTTTCTCAGGAGTCCCCCCCCCCTTCTAAACTTATTCTCAACAGATGGTCTAGAGTTCAAAATGTTTTGTATATATCCTTCATCACTGATAGGTGCAGCTTTATCTGTGATTTAGTGAAACACTGAACTGAGTTGACCATAGAATTCCTGTGAAGGCCAAATAAACTAATTGGCATTGCAGACTGGGATTAGATACAAGAGCTATGAAAAGATGATAACCATTGTGAAATCATTGCAATCAAATTTAGGTGATCTTAATGCAGCACGTGGCTACTATTAATAATTGATTATTCTAGCAAGGACATATGAAAGCAGCTTTAATAAGTCAAATTGTAGCTGCATGTTCAGAGCCCTAGCTTGTGACATGTATTGTTCATTTTTGGGAGAAAGGAACAAAAGTTCATGGCAAAAAAGATTATATAATATAAAAGAAAATGCTGTACAATTTCAATTGCTTTGGCTTAAATAAGAAGTATAAATAATACTTATCAGATACTAAATGAAACTTCTGAGAATAGGAAATATAGCCATTTATCCTTTATGGTAAAAGATAAGGTATAATTACTTTCCGAAAATTAGAAAATGCAGAGAATGAGAATTTAAAACTGTTCAGTAAAGTGATAAAGTGCAACAAAAGGTCATATAAAGGCCAAATTTACAAGTAAAATCCAACCGGTTGATTTAGGAGAAATGTGCACTAAATTAGAGGTAAGCAATATTTGGCCTCCATATATTATTGAACTGCAATTCCCATCATCCCTTACCATTATTAATGCAAGTTAGGCCTAATAGGAACTGCATGAGATTAAAAAGATTCTTTCAGTTCAGTGATTTTATGCTAATAATAGAACTTAGGGCTTTTACTGAACCAAGAAACTTCTGTTTTGAAAATATCCAGGAGCACAACCCTCCCCCCCCCATACATACACACAGCTGTCTAGATTTATCAAATACTTTGTTCATTTGTAAGCACTGCATTTTCAGTATTTTATTTGGCTAGTCTAAGGCCAACAAGAAGAAGATTTGCTGTAGAAGAAAATCCATATTATAGAAGACAGAGGTTGGGTTCACACACTACTTTAATTTAGAGTGTAGCTTGCTTTGTTTGATCTTAGTGTTTTTAGTGGTTAAAACTTATTTTTAAATCTCATTGTATGATCCCAAGAAATTGTGGCTTATTCAACTAGACATTGCTAAGCGAACTATGGCTTAGTACAACGAGTAGACCAAAAGTACCTGTCATGTCTGTTTTATTGCTGTATTGCATTCTTTATGCAATTTTGATATAAAATCTAAAATTCGTTCTATGTTAGCCAAAAAACTAAACATTTGGAGTGACATTTCAAGCGTGCTGCCATTTACAATACTATTGCTATTGAGCTGCCACTCATTAGATTGGAAATTGTTTGCATTTAATTTTGAGACTGACACTACAAAAGCTTGCAGTCTGTTCCTAACAAAAGAGATAATAATGGAGTTGAAATCAAGAGTACTGACCTCAGTATTGCCCCAACAATTATTGATAAATCACATAAGGAGTGGGAACTTTCAACTGAAGCAGATTAAATGTGAAGAATATATTCTTAAGGGGAAAAGGCAAGAG